AACTAAAAGATTATTGACTTTCAATTTTATCTTAATTTTGACGATGGTCCCGGAAAGAGAATCGAAACCAGGCCTCCAAGTCACAAAGCGAGCGCCAAACCACCAGGTTACCGATGCCGCGAATTGCCAGCTTTGATTCAGCAAATAAATCTTGAATAGTCCCATGTAATCTTTAATGGAATTGACCTATTTAACTAAAATGCTAATTTACTCAAGAGGCACAAGAGGTACTTAAATTTTTTCCTATAACTTTACATTGGAACTGTGTTTTCCATCAGTGCTAAAATTGTAAGGGAACAGAAAACATGCTTCGTGTAGTTTATACTGTCAGATCTTAAGAAAGAAAAAAAAAAACATCTTTTTTTTAGAAAACAGATGTGAACAGGAGCAAATAAAATGTTTTGAAATACATTTAACTAGATGACAATTATAGTAAAGTTTGCTAAAACCCAACTCATTTTTCATTTGGATAAGAAAATTTTATAATTATTTTAAGTACTGTGAATGATGCTAGTGTGGAAATTTCTGCCATTTTTAGCCGATTCTGCGTATACCTCAATAAAAATATTGTTAATTAAATCGTTAATAACTCTATCTCTTCATTTTACAAAACTTATAAGTGAAAAAAGTATCAAAATTACATAGTTTTAGAGAAAATGAAACCACAGAACTTATGCAATAAATCTTAATTTTATTGTAACCAAAAGCATGTCTCACAAGAAAGTCGTGTCACAAGCAAACGCAGATCAGAGGTAAAATGATAGGGATCCCAAAGAAAATATTCCATCAGAAGAGAGAGAGAGAGAGAGGGGGGGCAACTATCTGTTCCATATATAGAACTGTGTTTTGCAATCATTCAAGTGTGTAGGTTTGGTGACTAATTATTAATTAAGATACTGCATTAATGTCGTCATTCATGAAAAAAATATTTCTGTAGGTTCAGGAAATATTAGTTTTTAGCCTTCATTTATTTTGGCGTTGGTGGTATAATAATTAAGTAAAATAAGCCATTTAAGAATTGTGCATGGAAACTACTTCAAAATTTACTATGCTGAAGCGTTTTTAACATTATTTAAAAGGAATAAAAAATCAGTGATCAGTGTTTGAACTTCACACAACGTGAGAGGGGTGTCGATTATCGTTTTTAGATTTACAGTAAAACTCGGTTATAAATAACTCGCTTATAAAGATTCTCGGTTATAAGGAAGCGAAATTCAAGGCCCCTGTGACTCCCGTATAACCGAGTTTTACTGTACTAATGGAAAGATAGTGTCTCTTTATGATAAATATTACATTTGTATATCAAACTTATTGGTTTATATCATTGTCTTAATTTCTCTTAATATATCTATCAAAGTATTGCATTAAATGTCGTCATTCATAAAAAAATTCTTAAGTTGAAGAAAAGAAATTCTTTAACTGTTTTTTTTATTATGTTGTAATAGATAATGTGATAAAAATAGCTTTATTAGAAATCATGCACAATTTTTTTTCTGTTACTATCTTTACCTTTAAATGTTGTTTTAAGACAGAGAAAACACTACAGTGTCCAAGTACCACAAATAATTGTATTTGTCTTTTAAAAATTAAGATCATTTCTCCATTGAGGCAATTGAAGCATGTTCGTTTAGGCTTGTGTCTTTGTGGTTGATTAGCCAAGAACTGTCTCTACGCCTAGAATCAATTTCAGAACACCCCAAAAAGGTCGTTATTTCATTTGCTTTCCTGACAACAAACGAATTATACTAGACATTTTGAATATTCAAAACCAACCTATTGTTAATGGTTTGTTTTTATCATAAGTCAAATGTTTAATTATAACTGTAATGAATTCAAACATGGCTAACACTATCTCTACTGAACAATATAAAGAAGAAAAAATATCATAACATGTGGAGTAGGATGCATTAATCTGATATTTTCTACACCAGTGAATTAATTTTTTGAAATTTGTATTTGAAAATAAAAATTATTTTACATTAAGCATTAAATTCCATCTTTATTGAGGATTTGTTCCCAAGAAATTCGTAAAAATAAGATCTCAAGCTTCCATAGCCTACTTTTTCTGATTCGAAATTTTTGCACCAGCATATAGACCAATACAGATGCCTTACTATACAAAATCAAAATTAAAATGTTTATTCATGTATCATGATACGTTAAAGATTGGCTTAACACCCATTTAATTAAGCAATTCTGCTTCAATTTCAAATCAAGCCTATTGCTAAGGTCAACTAGATTTAGTACTTATGTAATGTTACTTTACTGTTTCCAAAGACTTGGACATGGAACATATGGACTAAAATACCAGGTTGTATCTCTAGAGTAGATTGGTTATTCTTAACATACTTAATCCTTAACACTTTTTGCAGCTAATGAATTCATTGAATAATCGATCATTTACCCAATATATTCTTTATCACATTTTACAAAACCTGATCTGCTGTTGATCAATTTCTTTGATGGTCTAGTTTTTAAAAATAATATTGATGTACTTTATTGTAAACATTGGCTTTTTAAAGAAACACAGGTTTATTAGATTATCTACAGAGACATTTTTGTTCTGAATTCAGTTAAGAAAAAATCAGTTTTGTCCGAATGAGTATGAACATATTTCATTTTCTCTACACAAATTGAATTCTTACTTCAGAAAAGATAATTTTCTGTCAATCAAATATGAATTGTGCACTTTCCAAAATATTTTGAATGAAATATGGAGATAACGAACAATATTCAAACTCAAAAGTCTATTCAAACAATACAAATCATGAGCAGAGCAAACACGGATCTCCAAAACATCAGAGGTGGGATCAGGTGTCATGGTGGAGTGAGCATCCCCTGCCGACCGGTCACACCCGCCGTGTGCTCCTTGTCATGATCGGGAAAAAACGGAAAAATCCGTAGACAATTCAATGTGTACATTTAAGAAATAATGGGTTACAAAAACATAAAGGAAGGCAAGCAATTCGAGCATTTTGAAATATAAGTAAATAGAATTTTTATAAGCAATTGCGTTATCTAATCATAGTTAAAAACAAAACTAGGTAACCTGGAAGAAAATTACGATCATTGATGCTTATTATTTACAAAAGTGAAGTTTTCCGAGACAGCTCTAAACATATCAATGAGATTATTCTCCAGACATCTGAAGATGGATGATATAAAAATTACTGTGTACGGTGAAATAACACTTGTCATACATTGTAGATGATTCATATCTTGTTCTAAAGTAATATAAAATGTTTTATCCTACTTTTTCAATAAAGTTTTAAACTTAGTGCTCTCTTGACTGAACAAAATACCTATTGTTTCCGCAAAAACATTCATCACCAATCAATCTTATATGAGAAATATTGAATGTAAAGTGTTTGTGTATTTTCATTTTAGGTTATCGAACAAATTATATACAGAATATGGTCACATAATTGTACATAATTATTAATTTTTCACCAAATTTTGAATACAATAATTTACACCACACGTTCATTTTGATAACAAGAACTTTTCCACCAACATTTTAATATCAAAGTAGTTTCCTTGACAATGCCCGTTATGACATTGCTGAGGAATTCCATTACATTTAAAAGAAAACCAAAAGGTGCACAATAAAAGAATAGTAGGGCCTCTTACTAGTATTGCTATCGTTTGAGGTTTCTTCGTTCAAGTTTCGCCTTTTTTACATTTCATTTTTATTAGGAAATAACCGCGTGCAACATTTGATTACGTGCTTTGACGACTTCACAAATATAAATTACATCTAATATATATTGTTTTCATATAAAATACGTGGAAATCATCTACAGAATTTTCCTTTTCTGCTAATTTTGTACTTATTTTATAATTATGAATACTTCTCTATCTTTTTAAAATCTGATTTACACAATTTTAGTATTTAAACTTCAGTATTTTGAGAGTGCATCTATTTCACTGGATATGCCGGAGACATATATATCAGACTGCTATGTTTCTTCATCAGACTGATTTAACTTCTGACATAAAACATATATGGCTACCTATTCTCAAATAACCGAAGATTTTGAATGAAAATTTTAAGACTACGCATTAATTGAAATTGGGAGTCTTTTTTATTAAGTACAAATATAGACTTAATTATAAATTAAAGTATTAATAATATTTATCAACAAGCTTTAAAAATTCAATCGTCTTTGCAAGATTTTATATTAATTTTATTACCACTCTTATTTATAGACTTTCTCTTTTTGGAAACACATTCGTTGTTTTTATATTTTATTAAAATATAATTATTTTCATTATGCTATGCAACTAGTGACGAATTCATCTTAAAATTAATTTCATTTCTTTAAATTCATTTTTAAGTTTTTACATTAAGATTTGTAGATGTGCACTGAATATATGAAAAAAAAATCATCAACTTGTTTTCTTTATAGATCATTTCCGTATGCATTTACAAATAACAATGACATTAAAATTTTCTTCTAAAGAAATATAAAAAAAGATAGTTAAATGCAATTATGGTTTGAAAAAACTGCAACTAACAATTAATTATTAATTAGATTTTAATATTAAATTATCTATGTGGACGACCTTTCCAAAATGAAAACCTTTTCCAATATCAGGATAATTAGTTCCTTTTATTACGTTTAAAATTGTTTTAATTAACTTGCATTGCAATATACACGGTGCTCGGAAAAAGTTGGTGATGTTTAGTCTAAAGCTATTTTTGAACGGAAGCATGTCTATCATTGGTTAAATGTAGGCTTATCTCCGCCCTCTGTGAGAGTTTATGATTTGATGACATTACGGAAGTCAACTTTGAATTCAAACGCTAGCGGTATAAATAATGCAGTTATGAATTTTGAATCAGTATTTAATGTTCTTTCATTTCACGCATTATCTATCAAACTCCTTTTAGTGTTGACAACTTGCAAATGAATGAAATTTAGGTCAAAAAAAATTAGCAGGTGTGTTTTGTGTTTTAATTTTACAGAAAGATGTGTTGTGCATGGTATTAGGACTTCATGCTGAATTATTTCTTAAGTTTGTCAACGTTTCACAAAAAATTTTAAATATTTGGATTTGAAAACAAAGACGATTTAAAGGCCAGTGCTCCGAACACTTTTACTGAGAAACCTTTCTCACGATTATCAGCGTCCAGATCTGTTATCAAACCACATTTATTCGGTGCTTTCTTTCATCATTCCGTGCCAATGGTCACGAAAATTGCATTCACGAATCTCTTCATTAAACGGATGGAGAATTAAAATATAATCTGTCTAAGCAAAAGGACGATACACCTAAATCAAAACACCCTGTATTCTGCCATTAAAAATGGAATTCTTTCCATCAATTCTGCTTTTGAATGTGCTTGGATATATGTCTTGTTTTCTCCAATCAAAGAGGATCCAACTAGATGGAAATGGTTACACTGGTGTGACTGTAGCAATATCTAGTAAACTGGACCCTACTGAAATTCATATACAGAGACTAAAGGTGAGCTAAAAAAATCTTTTGATGCAAAGGCTATTGCATGTATTTCGTGCTCATTTCTGCATTTTCTATGTAGAGATAAAAAATGATATTTGTACGGTTTGCATTGTATTAATACACCAATATCAATTGCGTATTATATGCATTTAGAAACTTTTACTTAAAAAATCGCCTCCTCGTGGAATTATTATTTTTCATAATCACAACCTTGCTGATTGCATAAAGAGAGTACATATGAATTTCGTAAGATTAATTTTCTTCGTTAAAATCGAAATATTTCTTTGGACGACTTACAATGGGAAAGGACGTCTCGATGTCTTTATTGTTAAAGACCAAAGTTAAATAGACTTTATAGTTCAATTAAATAATTTGTTTTCAGAATTGAAGTTTATTGTCCATTTTAATCCTTTCCTCTAAATAATCCTCTGTGTAAAATATTTTGTAAGGAAATATAATGGTAGAATGTCAAAAATATTATGATTATTTTGATTTCATCTGTGAGACTTAAGCAAATAAAAGAAAATGTCTAAACAACTATTTTGAACAAATATCTCAAAGTCAAATAAAAGAGATTTGCATAATATAGCCTGAAAAAATTGCGCAATAAATCAAAATTTGAAAGAAGATAAAGTGATTGATTTATCACTTCAAGAATGAATTATTTCAAACGACAAAATGACAATTGCAAATTCCCATCTGTTAAAGAGAAATGGCTTTAGCAAAGTGCATCGCGTTGTTATACATACTTTTATCATTCATTACTTTTAAAGTTTCAAAGATACTACAAATTAGTTTTATAGCAAAAAATTAGGAATAAAATGTTTTTCTAACAATATTTTAGCTGTAAAAATTAGGATTCATTTTTAAAAGGTTCCTAAATGTGGAATTAATCTGCCCAATTTGTTGAAAGTAACATCATGCATGCATCATTAATAATAGCGTTGAGATTAAATAACATCTACATGTATTATATTAACAATCATGGCTTGGCCATGAAAATTAATGAATTTACATTTGTTTCAAAGAATTCTAAAGGAAATTACAGTGACACATTTTCAGAAATACAATTTATACATTGTAACAACTACATGTAAATGCCGACTTCATGTTGATTTTAAAAATTAATTTACTCCGTCTTGTCCTCGTTACTAGTAAATGCATTGTTTGTTTCCATTTTGTAGAATAAGAAATTCTCACCTGTGCTTGTTTATACCTTTGACAAATGATTTCACACTTCACCTGTTCATGTCATACAATTTTATAGATCTAATCTCTTAAGCCTATCATATCACAGTTGTATCTGTCGGAAAATAAGAGTGTCATACTTAATCATTTCCTCGGGCAAAGTGCAAAATTAACATTCTAAACCTAATTGCACTAATTTGTTCCTGAGAGTACAATATACATCAGATGTAATTGTCAAACATCGTGCTACTGCTCTTTCGGTGTAGAGAGTGTCTTATGTTCGAGTAGATTGACGTTTAATATGGTGCTTAATTTTGCACAAGTGAACCTTATTCTACTCATGATAACTTTGCTAATGTATATAAGAACTGAGTTACATGTACATGTAAGTGAAAATTACATACTGGTTATCAGCGTAAGTGTTTAATCTAAAAAGAAATCTAGGACCATCATTTAGCAAATGACTGTAAAATCTGCAGTAAATAGAATAAGATAATAAATGTCTGTCGAGTATAGTATATATTTGTTCTTGTGCGTGTCTCTTTGACATTTCTTCTCCATTCAAAGAAATAAATTAAGTTATTTAGATAATCTGTACATTTTCATAATATCATTTTGCAGAACTTACTCACGGCTGCCTCTGCCCAGTTGTACAAGACAACAAAATACCACCTATATTTTAAAGATGTCACCATAGTTATACCGAAGTCATGGCCGAATAATTTCAGCAAAGAATTTGTAAGTGGACCACAACTTGATACGGCCCACATTATTGTGGACAAACCCAATCCACTGGTGGACAACAAGCCATACGTTTCTGGAATGACCGGGTGTGGGCATCCTGGAAAATACATATATTTAGAACCTATCACAGTACAAGTTCATCCGGCAGAGGGACTTGCAGGTGCATGATATATCTTTTTTATTAAGGAAAGCAATAAAAATAAATGTTGATGAACATGTTCTGTAACGGTTTTACTATGCACTTGTGCTATGATAAAATTCATACGGTTGTAAATATGAAACACCTATTACTGTCACGGACTGAGAAATGCCACATACAAATCATACGCTTAAAAATCTTAAATACATTTTCAGTGTGCTGATTTTCTCCTTTTTTTTTCATAGATAAGATACTGGTTCATCACTGGGGCCATTTCAGGTGGGGGTTATTTGACGAACATGGCGATAAGGAAGCACCCATCATGGGAACAAATACAAACCCTTGGTTTTACTCTACTGAGGGGACATTCAAACCCAATATGTAAGTTTAAATTTTACTACAATAAAAAATCTTTAACAGCAAAGCCTTATATGTTTGACATGTTTGTTTCTTTTTAAACAGGCAGAATACTCACCTTACATCATGCTTTTTATGAGCTTTTTGTTCCGTGATTTTAAAGATATAATTATTATTTTTTAATTAAACTACGACAAAAAAGATTTACACTACAAATATGGAAGCAGGCCATGACCTTATTTTTTCTGTATGTTGTATGAATAATGTCGAAATAAAATTAATGATCTGTAATATCTTACATCAGAATCGGTGTAATTCTTCAGATGTGCTAAAAATATCAAGGGTCAAAACCACCTAAAATACTGCCAGAGCTTCAGACAGTGTCTTCTGGACGATAATGGTTTGCCAGAAAAGGATTGTAAATTCTGTGTCGACGAACGGGATAATACTGCAAAAGGCTCTATCATGGGGAAACCGGAGATATCTAGTGTTGGTATATATAAGAAATCTTTGTTTAATGATAGAAATATTCAATCAAACTTGACAATGTAAGAGCATCTTATTATAACGCTCCTGTGATGAGTACTAAATAGTCGTTCATTGGTGATTTACTTAAAATATAAAAATTAAAACTGGATAAATTCATCCAATATCTTATAAACATGATCATATATGAACCCTATATCACTATTTCTAAGCATAGTATCTAAACATGCATAATTAACACTCTAAGTGTATATATATATCTTTTTTTTTATTTAAAGCATTAAGCATTTGTTGTATTTTATTGTAACATATCAAATGGTGTACCTTTTTCATTTGTATTCAAGGTGGTTGAATTTTGTGACGATGAAAATAGTGATGTTCCACACAACAGAGAGGCGGACACTCCTCATAACAGATTCTGTCAAGGAAGAAGTGCCTGGGAAATAATGAGACTTCATTCTGACTTCAAAGGTCAGTTTATTTATTGATTTAACATTACATATATTTTTAGGGAAATCCAGACCCAAAAATTTTTAACTATGCAAGCATTTTCATCAACATATGTTTTGCATATTAGCCTTAATTTTTCTTTAGCAATTTTGTTTGTATGTAGATACAAAACCAGGGCCTCCATCACAGAACACAGTGCCAACATTCAGAGTTGTTCAACAGCGGACGGGTCAGAAAGTTGTTTTAGTATTGGACAAGTCCGGAAGTATGAACAGTTACGATGTAAGTTCCGGAACCAATTTGTTCAATACCAATAACGGTCTACATCTATAAGACAATAAATGATAGAACAAGTGTTTTATTTTTATTAAAGTTTTTTGCATAATTGTAAAAAGTTGACTGGCTTTATGCTTCATGATATTCATACTTCCTCTAGGACAGTAAAACAACAAACCCTTTGCGAAAGGTATTACAATACCTATGAATATTACTTCCTCTCTGTCTCTATTCCAATATCTCAGTTATATTCCATAATAAAACTCACAAATCTCAATTTCTGTCTTCACTTTTAATATTTGATCAAGCATCATTGTACTACTATTCCTAACTCTTTTAAATCATTCTTACCAATAATTGCAGTGTATAATTAGAAGTAATGTTGAATGTTTGAAACGCTTAATTAGTATATTAACCACGATTTTTGCATATCGAAGGAATTTAAAATACTTTACAAATACTTGTCTACTTACATATATTTAAGCTTAGAAGATATATGTTTACTAGACTAACTTTCCCTTGTTAACAAAATCGCATGCATAGCACTTATCTGTATTATATATCAATAATCGCTCAGTCTTACTTTACCGGTACCGTTTTTAATTTTACATTTTTTTCTGCAAAAGAAAATTGTAGTGAGATAATGAGAGCTCCTAATAAATCATTTAAAAATTATGATTGAAAACAATATCAAGTTTCATCAAAATATTTTTTATCTTTTTAAAGCAGAGAATAAACAAATTGAAGGATATATCATCCAATTATATCAGAAACTGGTCACCAAATGCTACATCCATTGCCGTGGTAACATTTAACGAAACTGCCAGTGTGGTGGCTCCATTAACTACTGTGACGTCAGAACAAGAGAGACAAAGCTTAGTGACGTTGGTGAAGAACATCAAAGCTCTTGGTGCAACTTCTATTGGAGCTGGTCTACAAAAAGCATTAAAGGTATATTGAGTAGATTTAGTATCAATTCGAGGCTAGGGAAATGACTATAAATTATTTCTATGAAGAACAAAGTGTAACAAGATTGGAAGAATTGATTTAAGTAATAACAAGATGAAGATGAAAAATCATGACATTGTTTATTGTTTTGCAGTTATTAAAAGAAGATAGTGACAACATTACGGGAAGCGAAATAATTTTGGTATCTGATGGCGCCAATACAGTTCTTCCTGGACCGGATGAAGTTAGAGGGGAAATTCTAGTCGAAGGTGTAATCATCAGATCTGTGGCTATTGGGAGGGAGGCGGATGCAAAAATTGATAAACTAGCAAAGGACAGTGGCGGATTTAGCTTCTTTTACTCCGGAAATGAGCGGTCTACAGCTCTTGCAGATATTTTTCTTGGCATCGCTGCTTCTTCTTCTGATGAAGAAGGGAAGATGTATCAAGTAAGTGGGCCGTAATAATAATGCATAAGCAAAGTATGACAGGTGAAAATTGGAAAGTAATTGGCATTAAAACATATTGGCTAGAAGTCTGAGGATTTTTAATAAGTTTCTCTGCTTGAAGAATTCTTTTGCCCATCAGATCTGTTCAAATAAAGAGCCATTCTTCCTTTCATAGGATATAAAGTAGGAAAAGTTTAAATTTAATAATAAATACACGGAAGACTTATTCAAAATTATTTTCTAAAGAATCACTTGGCAAAAAGAGTCAAAACTTTATTATATTAAGGTTTCTTCATAGATTGTAAGTTCAAGTTTGTTAAAATCTGGAGCTTTGACGGGGTCACCATAGGTGTCACCCCTTGGCATAAAAATATCAGAGGAAAAATCTCTCACATGCCAGTAAGTGGAAATGACAAGAATATCATCCCAATATAGTGGTGTTTTTCAAATTTGTTCAAATCACTGCATTATCATAAACGGAAAAATATCTTTATTTTTTTTCCAAAAAGTTCTTCTAAAGACTAACTGGACTACAATAAGTCAAATGCAAGCATCCCCTCATAGTGTGGATTCAAGTTCGTTCAAATCATAGCCGCTTAGAATAGGATGCTGCCTCAAATGGGGGTCAACGTTTTATATAGGAATGTATATGAGGATGATCTTTTTTTCTTTTGTACATGGTCCAACAATGACCATGCATATTATGATGTAAACATCTCCAGGTAGTAAAGATTCAATTTTAAACAGATCTAGGATCCCATGACTTGAATTGGGGAACAATAAGACATCATATATCACATAGTATATATTTGAAGAAAAAGTTGAAAATGTCTCCTTAAAACATTGTCACAATTTGTCATACAATAATATGAAAGTATTCCAGTATAGTGCAGATTCCTGTTTGTTCAAATCATGATCCCTGGATCCAGTGCTTTTCATATTTTCTTAGTCTTCTGCAGTGATCAATAAAGTTTTCTTGAATCAAATGGTTTTCCTTAAATATTTTTTTTTCATGCAACAATAATTTGATATTTTGCCATTTATTCACCATTTAGCTAGAGAGCAAATCAGTGAATGTGACCAAAGAGCAGAATTTCACCACATCGATAACAATTGACTCTACCATTGGACGGGACACCACTATCCTGCTAATGGGGCCAGGGATTGATTTCACTGTTGCAACATTATCAGGTCCTGGGAATAGTTTCCTTACTTCTGGTGCCTGTACAGATTCGTGTAGCTTAAAGATTGAAGGAATAGCAGAGGTAACCTATAACAAAATATTTTGTCTGTTATATAGTACACTGCTACAAACAGCTTGATAATTCTAATATAAATCATATGTTTTTATTTGTTTTAGATAGGTGATTACGTAATTGAAATTTCGTCATCATTTGACGTCATTCTGACACTGACGGCACATTCCTATCCTAGGAATCCTTCTGAAGATGTTTTCACTGCCACTGCTTGGACATCGACAGACTCATTCGACTTTTCACCATCTTCCCCGATTGTACTTTATGCTTTAGTTCAGAAAGGAACATACCCTGTCTTCGATGCTGATGTCAAAATATTTGCAGAGGATGAAAATGGTCACGTGATCAATGTAGACCTAGCTGATGATGGTCTAGGTGAGAGAAGACATCTTGTCGTCATTACTTTGTTCTACAGAACTTATATTTATAGGGCTTTCTTATCGGTTTCGCGACGGAAGTCCTGAAAATAATGTCTGTGTTTATTTTGTAGGTATGGATTTAATTAAGGGGGATGGTCAATATACAGGATTGATATTGCCTTCTCGAATCAAATCGAGTGGACGACACAGTCTCAAACTTGTAGTGACTGGCAAAGATGGTGAAACAAAAATTCTGCTACCTGAACTGAAAAGGCGAAAAAGGCAAATACAGGATGAAATTGGTATATAAACCATTCTATGGAATTTTATTGAACGTATCTTTATAATTTTAGCCTATTACAAATGTTTATCATGCACTTATAAAATATTCAGACATAATATATTTCTACTCAATACAGATGTGTCCTTCCGCGACGCGACATATAACCCTTCAATTGAAAAAAAAAATACCAACTTGTCCTTCTTTATTAAATTACAGATTGGTTCCTCTTGGGAAATTAGAGCAGGTTTAAAACTTTAATGATTTTTCTCCCTTTTTCAGCAACCTCTAATCTCAAAACAGAGAACGTGGGTGGATTTAAGAGGGTTGCAGCTGGAGGGACATTTACTGTTCAGAATTACAAACCTGTAACAGAGGATAGGATGCCACCAGCCAGGATTACGACCCTCAGACTTATAAGCGCCGAGAGTAATTCTTTCAATGTAAGCTGGAATGCCGTGGGTGATGATTTCACCATTGGAAATGGTAAGAAATATTTATTTTAGGTAAAAAATGTTAATAATTAGCGATAAGTTACATACTTCTCAATTATTTAACATACGGATGGGTTTTATCATTGTACAGTAATTCTTAAAGAATAATTATGATTATTGTGTTTGAACGTGTTTTTATTTCTTTTCCAGCATCATCCTACAAGATTTTATTGTCAAAAAACTATTCAGCAATTCTGAGCTCGACTGATACAGTGACCCAGATAACCGAAAAGATTCCAACACCTTCAAAGCCTGGCAGCTTAGAAGTATTTTCCTTTAACTTACCGGAAGTTGGTGTGAATTACTATTTAGCCGTTCTTGCCGTTGACGATGAAGGGAACCAAGGCGAAGTTTCAAATATTGTTTCTGTGTCTGTTGTAAATGACGACAGTTGGAAGCGTGTTGAATACATGGAAGTGACGTCATCACAATCGATTTCCATGGAGGGTCTAATTCTTTCAGCAAGTGCAGCTGCAGTATTTGTTTTCATTCTAGTTTCTTGCGGATGTTGTTTATGTAAAAAACGAATTGAGTCTGGAGGTAAAGCAAATAGCTTTGATTACCATAAAGAGGAACTGTCAATCAAGGTGTGGCATGAACGTTATTTTGGACGCGATTTTCTAGTGCGCATGTACTATTCACCCCATTTACATTTTGTGCGAGGTTACCAGGCCCGAGATCCTCGAATCAATGGATATAGAGATAATTCTTACCTGTATTACATTTCATAATGTGAAGTGCATGCAGGTACACGTGCAGAACTTGACAATGTATATGTAAAACATTTGTTAAGATTTATGCTTGGAAATTCCACTCATGATATGAAATTTTCCATCCATCTTTTTAACACAATCCATTTTCAACAGTGACAAAGCCTTTTTTCTGCATATGTAAAGCATGGATTGGATTTTTCATCGAATTACTATACCATAAACCCTAAAATGTTTCATCTTGTCTGCACAGTAAAGATATTGAAAAACATTTTTAGAAAGCCCACACACTTTAGAGATTTTGGCCGGCGCTGTTATTTTTTTTTTCTCTAAATAATGTTTTCAAAAATTCTTTCAGGAGATCAGCAGATACCTTTAGAATAAGTGATCAAAGGGTTAAAATTAAGAGGCATTATAAATGGATCTACGAAATCCTATTTTGTTATACTCAGACCTAACTATCATCGAATAGCACTTAGAATGTTTATTTATATTGAATTACTATTAATTTTTATTTATTAATTAATCAATAAATTCTATTTATCAATTAATCAATATGCAGTATTCCCAGTTTCTAATTCATCATAGACTGAAAGTGTATGCAAGATACATAGGCAGATGAAAACGAATGAGCTTGCTATGTGTGTTCAATTATTTAATAACTCATAACCATTTTAAGGATATCCGATCCTCAGCCAGGAAGGATAACTCTTAAATTTATTATTTTATTTAAAAAGTCTCAAATTGAAACCTGCAATTGAGATCTTTTCGTGCAACAATTTTCATTTTATGCATCTTAATATGATTCAATGTTATTTGAAGTCTCAGAGAAGGTCTTGTAAAAAAAGTTGACATTTGTACCCAATAAAAGAAAAAAAATGAATTCATTTTTAGAGAAATCGAATTTCCTGTAGTCTAGCATTAGATACCACTGCTTATTAGCATTATAAGAAATTAGATGTTACATGTGATGTCTAGCAATGATAGCACAAGCTTTCTACGCTATGTATTATATGACAATTGAAGTTTAAAGAAGAATTAAAATACTGTACAAGCATAAAAAAGATGCAATTTTCTCCAAATGCCTGTATATCTATATTTTTCTTTCCTAAATTATATTTGTTGATCAATTTTCAATTAGAAAATGCATAACTGGTGTTTTTATTTCTATTTCTTGAAAATATATTTGAGATTTTGATAATTTTCCCTATATATTATGATTAATTATAATGGTGAACTTTGACGAAATTCTATGGGTAAATTCACGTTACTATGTGAATTCAGAGACATTTTTGTGAGCATTTTCAATTACTTAAAAGCTGATTTTCAGAACCTGACGATCGGACTGCCTTAAGTTTTGGATTTACACTGAATAGCTCTTCACTGTATTAAGGGGAATAATCGTAACATCATCTGCCACTTTTTTAAAAAAAGCTTTTTCATGGATGTTTCATTTTTTCTTTCGTTCCTTATATGTACTTCAAAGATTTTTTAAAAGTGTTTCCTGTATATTATATATTTGTTAGATTTTATTTGCAATTGTTAAGAAATGATATAGAAATAAAGAATAAAAAAATAATGAAATTAGTTTTTTACGTTGTTGTTTGTATAATTTAATATGGTATAAAAACCATTGAATTATTTGTTGCCACTTGTAAGGCCATTGAAATAAATCGGATTTTTTTTGTTGAAAACCTAAGCTATACTAGTTCCTTGGGGGGTTGATCGATCCAAAAATAAAGTCACTAGTACCATAGAATCTCAATTAAAAAATCCTTCAGCAAAACTTAAAAATTCTCAATTTTGTCTACTGTCTGCAAAATTCATTGAGGTACTAGTAAATTTGATACTTTTTTTTAAAAATCTAAACACAAAGTTAGGTTACTTCTATGGTTATCGTCACACAACAACGATAACATGCAAAGTCTGTATGGCGTTACTTCTCAGAATTCATTATCAGTTTGTCCCTAAATCTGTTAAACCTATCACCCGTGTTCTTATTTCAGTTTCCATGCCCTCGATCCAAACATACACAAATGCTTGCCAGCTTCTCCATATTGTCCCTTTCTCTGAACCAAGGATGTTGACCAAATTATGCAAAAAAAAAAAAAAAAAAAAAAAAAAAAAAAAAAAAAAAAAAAAAAACAAAAAACAAAAAAAAACAAACAAACAAAACAAAAAAAAAAATACTGAAGAACTTGCAGAAAATTTTTAAAAATATTTTCAATAACTATGAAGCATCAAATTATTAAAGGTATTCAATTATCTCTATGTGGATGTAGACTCAAACTTGTGAAAATAATTGTCCTCGGGAATAGGGAGAGTGTTTAATCCTACCCCTTAAAGATACCTTACATCTAGTACTAGAAAAAAAAACCCAAAATAAAACAAAATCAAAAACGTTATGTATGAAAATATGTTTCTGAAAATATGTTTCTTGATTACAATCGAAGTCATGGACAGCACCTAATATTTTCTAAAGTCGATATTATGTAATGATATTTTCTTTATATTTAGAGGACATATGTAACTTATAAGGGTTTTGTACATCGAAAAGTCCACTAAAGTTACTACCGAGTCTCTTATATGCTGATAGACATACATGTAGGACCGAAGAGTTATACTCATACCTTACTTTCAATGTTGTATGGTTTTCAAGGTTATGTTCATACTATCTAAGTACATGTACCTTGTTCACGGTTACTAGCCTGTATAAAGCATACTAAGTATAAATGTTAGCTCTGGAATCCAGTGTGTTGTTCATGGTCAGTAGTACATGTAAATAATACAATTGTATCTAACAGATCGTTTACATCCTGCATTAAATTCTAACTTAGGTTGTATTTTCGCAGTACATGACACATATCTTATTGATTAAAACGTTTCATGGCATCTCTATCCAATTTTTAAAGACAACTGAATGAACATGGAAGATCAATTGCATTTTGTCCCAGCCCTTTTGCCAACGAAATACATTTCTCTACACCCGGGTAAATATTCTTTTAAGGTTAGTTATCAACAAAACATCTATTCAAAATTAAAGTCTTGTCAAACGAATAAATTTGTTATTCAGTTTCTGCTGTGCTCTAAAATTAAAAAAAGTTAGCATTTAGTATGTACTGTTTTCTGCTCAAAGACCTATTAGGTGTAAAATTATGCACTCTATAATTGACATAAGTAATGGATATATGCCGAATACTGTTCTATATGTAAAATTATCAGACTGTTTGAGGCCCATTAGGGCCGAAAACAGTCTGATAATTTTACATATAGAATTGTATGAGGCATATATCTTACTTAAAACATTGCTATTTAAATGTCCAAAAGTTACCTGGAGGAGTCCTATAATTACACAATAGGAGTTCAGGCATCAATAGTTTTCCACCTGAAACCATCTAATAAATAGACGAAAAAAGAGAAAGTTTTTTTCTTTAGATAGTAAAATCAGTGAGTGAACTCCTTTGTTTCATTCATTCAATGGCAGTCGTTTGGCTTAGCAGGGACTATGGACAGTGGTCAGGTGATGAAGGATTTTTTTATGATTCGGAATATTTTTTTATCAAGTGCTTTTGACATTGATACAGATACAGTGTTGGATGATATCTTCATTTAAAGTAAAAATGCGGTTTTTTAATCTAAAATTTTGATTGGATGATATAATAAAAATCTTGGGATTTAAAAGTGTGATCATTGGCGAACAAACCTCGTTAAATGAAGATATTTGCAGACTGGTTCTTTATCAGAAATGGATTTAAATTGGCTTATTCACAGTGCTGTATCGAAAACGCTTTGCAAAAAATCGAATAGAAAGTGTTACTTTTGAGGAAGGTTAAAACTCCAGTTTGTTCTTGGATTTGCTGTTTTTAACAAATTAATTTCCTCGCGTTCGCTTTCCCTGAATTTTTTCTCCCTAACTTTTTGTTTTGGTTTCTGGGCAAATTAAACCTTGATTTCACTCTAGTTGTTGTTTTTTACTTACTGTCCGATTTTGTTATCACTGCCGTCCGATAATATATTATTGGACTGCTAATTATTATTATCGGCCGGCTACAGGTAAATTTTTAGACTGCAAGAACAAAGGCATGACGTCAAAGCAATGTTTTAAATGTAGATTATTAATTATGTCGGATGAAATAAATTGTTATTGTTCTAATTTTGTACGCGGGAGTACTTGCAGATGGCTTGAACAAGCTTGATGAAACTTCATAGTAATGACTTTGACCAAGTGAAGTTGTGATTGCAACATTGTAAAGTTTTGAAATGGCTTCTTTGGAATGGAAACAAAAGAGGCTATTTTTCGAAAATTTGAAATTTTCAATATTCTAAATTAGCACTTGTTTACTTTGCTTTCCGCTCATATAGAGTATCGTTTTAGGTAAGTTCGGATGACATTCACTATTGCTCACAATTTAAAACAAGTAATTACTATATTTTGAAGACAATTAATCATGCAATGCATATAATTATTCTATCGTATCACATATTAAAATGGGAAATAAAGAACGTTTAATTTTCAACTTACGAAAAATGAAAAACGTCGAATTGTTATACATGTATTATGTTTCCGAGCAACATATCATAATCAAGTATATCAAACACTTTTAAATTTCAAATTCCTGTTTGAGTTTGTTGGTTTGTTTGTTGATTAACGTCCCTTTCTAGAATTTTTCACTCATATGGAGACGCCACCACTTGCCGATGGAGAGATGCAGATTCTGACCTATGCTCGGCACTCAGGGCCATTGAGCAGTGAGGGATCTTTTTCGTGCCAGCATCTACTGCGACACGGGACCTCGGTTAATACTGTCTCATCCGAATTAGGACCGGTCTCCACGTCTCACAGAGGGATTCGAACCCGCGACGTAAGGACCAACTCCTTTCTCCACGACTCTAGAGCAGAGGACTTCTGTTATGAGTAATTAAGGAATATACCAGTAGGTGTACCCCTTTTTAGGTACTGGTTTTTAGCGTATTCTGTACGTCACACGTCCAAGAAAAAATGATACAAACATACAAGGAACTATTTTGAGTGGCGATGAGTGGCGATGCAATTCATCATATGAAATCCAGATACAAGATATGTAGTAAAGTTCATTTCATATCCTTATCAAACCTAGCATGTACACCACCTTAAGATGATAAAGGGAAACATGGAAGATACTGTACACGTAGTCCTTTGCTCAAGATATGCTTATCAAAAATGTTAAAAATAAGACTACGCGGAATACACGTATATTTACTTCCTTTCCATTTAAAGGATCCTTAGGTGACCACGGTGTAAATTTGTTGAAACTTAGGTC